GATGCAAAAACATAGCCTATAAAGAAAGAGGCTGTGTTGCAATCTTACTTTTGAAATGAGTTTGGTTTTGACGGTGAATACCCTTGGAAATTGTCATACTTGGATTAAATTCAGCTGCTGTTCTAGGTCTATTAAATGGTGTTGGTTAACTAGTTTTTCCATGAGATCCTGTGGAAGTTGTCCTTCCTAACTCACAGAATACTACAATGAAGTACCTTGGATTGGAATAGCTATTGAAGACAAAGTGAAATGTTCAGTTTTCTTCTTTAGTTTGATGAGCACACAAAAATTTGAACTGTGATCTAGAAATACTTCCTTCTTTCAGTATTTATCACATTTATATCATGCATAAAACCAGAAGCTGAATAGAAAAGTGATTTTAAAAATTTTAAAAAGCATTATGAGGTGAAACAGTCTTTATTTCACAAGTGTAAAGTGATCTGTTTGTTTCCCTTGAATTAGGTTCACCTTTTTGGAGCTTCTCTAGGAGGCTTTCTGGCTCAGAAATTTGCTGAATACACACACAAATCTCCCAGAGTTCAGTCTCTGATCCTGTGTAATTCCTTTAGTGACACTTCTATCTTCAATCAGACATGGACAGCGAACAGGTAAGGAAGGCTGAGACAAGCAGTCAGATTCATGGCTTTTTTTGCAATGAAATGTCACGCTGATCTGGTTGGACATGTGTCTAACCTGTCTGCAGCCTGGGTGAGGGAGGTGCAGGATGGAATACTTGTGACTTTTAAAGCCAGGCCACGAGGAGAATGGGAATTGTCACAATTGGGAGTGTGGGATTTGACAGACGAGTCGTTCCATGATCCTCTGTGGATGTGTGGTCAGATTTAAGAATTCTGCCTGTTTTCTAGCAAAACCATTTAGAGTGAGAAAAGTTTTATTCACCACGTTGAAAATACACTTTTGCAATGTGAGACTAACAGCTTCCCAGAGCACGTCAGGCACTTAGCTGCAAGGCTTTCCATCTCTCTGCTCTTGAAGCTGCTTCAGGATTTCATTTGAAGTTCAAGCACAAAGTCAGTGCAAGGAAAGGGGAGTGCTTACAACAGAGCATCTTCATCTTGGGAGTCCTGGGTGCTTGAAGATTGTTACTTCTCGTTTCTGTTGTAGCTTTTGGCTGCTGCCTGCTTTTATGCTGAAAAAAATTGTCCTGGGGAATTTTGCATCTGGTCCTCTAGATCCTGAAATGGCCGATGGGATTGATTTCATGGTGGACAGGGTAGGTAGCTGTGTCCTCTAATGGCTGCGATCTCCATCTCTGGAGAAGATTTACTTAGCGGGAGGTTGTAGGTTTCTTCATGTACTTACCCAGAAGGGAGGTCTGGAGGTAGGAGCAACTAAGGGAACATGTTTTAAGCACTTATCTCGTGCAGAGTCATATTAAATTGTAACTATAACCTTCATCTGATGCACAGTTATGTTTCCCTTTAAAACTTAACTTCTCTTTGGCTGGATTGTTAAGATTGCATTAACTTCCTGCAGTGAAATGTGGTGTTAATCAGTATTTCTCTCTACTGAAAGCTGGAGAGTCTGGGCCAGAGCGAGCTCGCTTCAAGACTTACCCTCAACTGCCAGAACTCCTACGTAGAACCTCATAAAATTCGAGACATCCCTGTAACCATTATGGATGTAAGTTAACCTCAATGTAATAGCTTTTGGTTTTGTTTCTTTTTAAACACTATTTCCTTGGCAGGTGGGGCCTGGATATTCTGTTAACTACTTAATAAATATCTGTGGCAGCTAAATTAATAGATAAGCCTTCTACTGACTGGGCAACACCGTGACTCTTGTGTGTTAATTACATCATGAATTGGATATTCTATGCAATAACACAGCCACATTTAGATATCCCAGCGTTTGCTTTCTAGCTGTTGATGCTGAACGTGTTTACTTGTCTTTGGTTTCATTAACGCTGTTCCATGGAGAAGCTGATGATTGCTTGTAGGAGCAGCACATATATCCAGACTGATTTAATGAGCAGAATCTGATTTGATTCAGAACTCACTGCTGTGATTTGTTACGTAGGTGTTTGACCAAAGCGCGCTTTCGACTGAAGCGAAAGAGGAAATGTATAAGCTTTATCCTAACGCCAGAAGAGCTCATCTCAAAACAGGAGGCAACTTCCCTTATCTCTGCAGGAGTGCTGAGGTCAACCTCTATATACAAGTGAGTCTCTGCATTCCAACCCCATCTCCTCACGTGTACAGCTGGAATGGCAGGAGGAATCTTGATTTCTGTGCTTGCTCTTGTTTCTTAACCTTAACCTCTGGCTCCCAGATCGCTGATACAGAGGGCAGGGCTGGGAGCAGCCACGTTCACGGAGGGCTGGCTTTGGTGGTTTGGCTGTTGCCTGTTCCCTCTGTCCTTTCTTTAACTCTTGTACTCCAGAGCCATGATTTCATCCTCACTAAAATTACTCAGAAGGAACGTTTCTCTTTTACCAAAACCTCCTGCTTTTACACCTGTTTCAGTGTTGGTTTCCCTGTCTGACAGATCCATTTGCTGCAGTTCCACGGTACCCGGTACGCAGCCATCGATCCCTCCATGGTCAGTGCAGAAGAGCTGGAAGTCCAGAAGATCAATCTTCACTCCAGCAATGAGCAAGAAGAGCAGTAGGGTTTGGAGTGTTGGTGAAAAGGAGGAATTAGTTTGGTGGTCTTCCTATGTACAATCAACTGTTCCCACTCTGCCTTTTTCCTTGCGTGAGCCGATGATCACTGTGTGATTCCAACGGGATCAAGAGTCAGTGAAGCACCCAACGGACAGTAACTTCCAGCAGTATAATGGGATAGATCTGTTTAATTTTTAGTCTTTGAATTCAAGGAAGCAACTTTGAAGACTACAGTTTTAAAAAAAACAAAGACACTTTTGTTACCAAAGTCTTCACTATCATGTTCTTAAGCAGAACAGTATTTCTTTTATATTTTTTTCACTCAGCTGTATATATTGCCACGTGCAGATTGTGTCCTTACAAGCTGACATCTATTTTTGTTGAATATTTGGTTTAAAAGATGTTTAAGTGCCAATGTTGCCCTCACTTATTTGCTTCATCTGTTGTGTTGTTAGTTTCTATTTGAAATAAAGCACTTGAATTTTTAACTTTCTTGCTGTTTAAAAATGGTTTTCAATAAAACTTCAATTAAACAAGTGGCTCTTGGTTTGACTACACCAGAAGAGCAGGGGAGCTTACTGTGCTCCTGGTTTGCCTCCACAGACAGTTAGAAATTAAGAAAACAAGCACCCTCAGCTTGAATTAGCATCAGGCCTTACTTATAAACTATCATAGGTTGCAGTGGTTTAGCTCTAAGTCAGAATTATGTAGAATTTCTTTAATAAAGAATGACTAAGACATAACTTGCAAGTTATAAGGGTAAAATCTGGATTTATTGATATACCTCATCTTCCCCTTAAAACACTAAAAAATAAATATGAAGTATTACAGTTTCCTTAAATACCAATTTGTCCTGTATGTCCTTGGCAGAGGCTGTGTGAAAAACCAGTGACCATTCTTAAAATACTTGTCAAGCTCTAATCTGGGGATCAAAGAAATTACCTGTTTGATTTATGAACAGGACATGTATGTTAATGTCCATTTATAACCAGTATATGTTCATGTTCTTCTCTGAAACTTTTTGTGAAGAGTCAAAACATTAAAGATCATAACCCTTAAGGTTCCAAAAGGGTTTCTTCTTAAATTCCTACCCTAACAGGGAAGTTATGAACACATCTAAGACAGAAGTGATAGGTAAGTAAAGAACATTTCTGAAAACAAAGTCTTTGCCCTCAATAACTTAAGAAATTGACAATTAAAAATTGACAATACAAAAGTATGATGTAAACAAGTTATGGTAAAATAGTAGAGTATTTCCTGATACTCCTGGTATGACAAGTGAGAGTCTCTCACTGAACTTTTAGTACCCAAATCTCCTTTCTGTGTAAAGAGGCATTTTACACCAAGAGCATCTGCTGATCTTGTCTCTTCAGCCCAAGAAGGACACAGCAGTGACACCAACTGTTCATGACAAGAAGCCCTTAAGTCGCAGCTGCCTTCTGCTCAGCAGCAGAACGTTTCAAGCAGAGGATGCCTCAGCTGAAGGAGCCACTCCCGGTGTTACATTGCTGTGCACTTCCGCGGAGAGGTAGAGTCTGCGTTTGCTTTTTTCCGAATGCTTTCTGTAAAAGAGAGAATGTTCTGCTGTCCAGACAGGATAAAGCTGGGGTAGGATGTGTTATAACCAGCAATGGGAGCAAGGGGGCAGGACACAGTTACCTTCCAGCCTCTGTGAACTGGCTTCTGTTACAACCAGAGGACTCAGGTAGCGCCCAGTGTGCGTTATTTGAAGCATTACCTGCTAAATCTCTTCTTCCAATCCCCACCAGCCCTTCGTACAATCCCTTGATTGGATTTTCTCCTGCCGTGATCACGCCGTGCAGCCAGATAAGCAACATCCTGTGGCCGTGCTCCCTGTAGCTTTTCATACCTGGCAAGATCAAACCACAACTCAAATCCTGCGCTTCACAGCGACGGAGCTAATTTCTGAATGTGAGGGTCTGTACACCCCTCCCTCCTCTTTGGATTTGACTAGGAGGCTCTAAAGTAGAATTCAGCTTAATTCCTCGTTGGGGTGTGATTGCTAGATTAATGTTAAACTTAATGGAGTGGGGCCATGGATGAGCTTGGGCTTGTCAGACAATGGCTTGTGAGCACAGCCCAGCCCTTTGCTCACATCACACCAACTACAGGATTCCCTGCAGTGACCGAGCCAGTGCTGAGCTGTTTCCAGAACTCAGAACCTGCTCCTGCTGACATATCTGTTAAATTCTAAATGGGACTTCACTGCTGCCTTGGTTCAGCTCCTTAAAATAATAAAAATAAAACCAAACCAAAAACCAAAACCAGCAAGTTTTTTCTGTCCTAGAGAAGAATGGTAGCGAGAACTCAACAGTGAGCGATGGACCACTAACCCTCATGCTTGTGCTTCACTCCTAGACAAATTCCAGCGTGTAGGTAACTCCACATTCATTAAAACCAAGATTTTTAACCTTATCTTTTGGTTATTTTAAATAAGCCAGCTGGTTTTCTTCATGCTTTGCTATTACTGCAGACTTATCTCCTAGAAACACAGTCCAAGTGAAGGAAGGAAAATATCTGGGCAGTGGTTTATACCTGGGCAGTGGTTCATACCTGTCCATTGCTGCTCAATGGCCCTAATGTGGGCATCAGTGAATTTCCAGTAATGTGCCAGCTTCTTCCATTCACCAGGTCTGAGGTACTTGGTAGCTAATCTCCACATCACTGAGCGGATGTGCTGTGTTTCCAGCCTGTGATCTTGTTTAAAGGTCAAGTGCTTTGCCACCCAGGAGTCGGAGTCGCTGTTCAGATTGTCCTGCAAAGCCAGAAGGAGGGTTTCAGTTGGGGTGCTGCAGATGTAGCTGGTGCTCTGCAACCTCCCACATCCTCAGCTCTGCAGGTTGTTGTGAGTTTATTGTTTTGGGTTTTTTTTTTAATTCTTTTTATTCTCTTGTTTCACTCTGTTCTACTCATGCACATTAACAAACACTGTTAAGAGCAGCTTTGCTGTGGAAGCCCATGTGGATCACAATTTGCATTTCTACAGTGCCTTTTCTCTGGGGCTTGTAAGCAGAATCATTTCATTCAGTTTCCTCAGAATTATTTCATTAAATCTCCTCGCTCCCCTGCAACATAGGTGTGTGCTCTCCTCCTCTACATGCCAGACTGCAAAGGGGCTACATGACTTTCCCCAGGGCTGTGTGGGAAGCCCACAGAAGGGGCTGTGTGGCAGAGATGTTTACAGGCACAGAATTACTCCTGATGCTGCACCCGAGCCACAGGCGTACACCCTCCTTTCCTTCCCTTTCTGATCACTTTGCCACTCCACTGTTAAAAAACTCCCCACATCCCATTTGGTGACCTTAGGCCAAGCATTTTCCTGCTCAGGGCTTCAGTTTCTCCTTCTGGGAAAGGGAACTAATGCTATCCCACTCCCTTCTACAGGGCTTTGGGAACAGCTGCCAAAGGATCTTTGAAAACCCCCGCTCCCTTCGGCGCAGCCTGGGGCTTTTAACAACAGAGGCTTTTTTTAAATAAGGAAAGCTTTAAATAGATGTTGTTGGCATGGTGAGGACTTTTGTTTTTCTTAAGTAAAGTGATGACAGTAGAGGTCAGGCTGTCACAGGATGTCCTGTATTTCTTTTCCTTTTGACAGCTGGTAACATGGAGTCTCAAGGGAAAGGATAAAGCTACATCTGTCCTGGGAATCACAGAATCAGAATGGTTTGGGTTGGAAGGGACCTTAAAGCTCATCCAGTTCCAACCCCCCTGCCATCAGCAGGGACACCTTCCACTAGACCAGGTTGCTCAAAGCCTCATCCAACCTGGCCTTGAACACTTCCAGGGAGGAGCAGCCACAGCTTCTCTGGGCAACCTGTTCCAGTGTCTGACCACCCTCACAGTGAAGAACTTCTTCCTAATATCTCATCTAAACCAGGAAGCGCAGGGGATGGTGCTGTGAGCCACTCACCTTCTCCCATTTGTAAAACCGATCGGCTTTGATGATCATGTCCGCCAAGTTGATGTGATTGCCTCGAGCGGCGACATCCAGAGATGTTTTCCCTTGCTGAAATGAGAAGGGGAAAAATGAGCTGGAAAAGACCCTACACACTCAGGAGGTACAATCTCCGTGCTCACCCACCAGTCTGTAGCAGCAGGCAGCATGGCCTACTGAGCAACGCATCCAGCCGGGATGAAGGACCCCTGTTCTCCATCCTGTGCAACCTGCTGGAGATGGACCTGCTTTGGCAGGGGGGTTGGACTGGATGATCTCCTGAGGTCACTTCTAACCCCCACCATTCTGTGATTCTGTGATTTTGTAACCTCATTAATTTTACAGGCCCCACATAGGCATGATTAGAAACTTCCTATGAGAAGCACAGTCTGATGGGACTAAGAAAATGTAACTACACTCCTTACCATGAACGTGGTTTTGGATTGTGGGGATTTGTATTTATATCTGCAAGCGTAGAACAGAAAGGAACAAGATTTGTAAGCTGCATGAAGGAAAGTGAGCCAGCCCAGCCAGAGAAGGGTTCTAGCCTCGGATCATAGAATCATATCATAGAATGGTTTGGATTGGAAGGGACCTTAAAAATCATCCAGTTCCAACCCCCCTGCCATCAGCAGGGACACCTTCCACTAGACCAGGTTGCTCAAAGCCTCATCCAACCTGGCCTTCAACACTTCCAGGGAGGAGCAGCCACAACTTCCTTGGGCAACCTGTTCCAGTGTCTCTCCCCCCTCACAGTGAAAAACTTCTTCCTAATATCTAATCTAAACTTCCCCTCTTTCAGTTTAAACCCATTTCCCCTTGTTTTGTCATTAACTGCCCTTATGAAAAGTCCTTCCCCAGCTTTCTTGTAGCCCCTCCAGGTATTGGGAGGCCGCTATAAGATCTCCCCAGAGCCTTCTCTTCTCCAGGCTGAACAGCCCCAACTCTCTCAGCCTGTCCTCACAGCAGAGCTGCTCCAGCCCTCGGATCATCCTGGTGGCCTCCTCTGGACTTGTTCCAGCTGCTCCAGGTCTCTCTTGTGATGGGGGCTCCAGAACTGGACGCAGTACTCCAGGTGGGGCCTTACAAGAGGGGAGTAGAGGGGGAGAATCACCTCCCTCGACCTGCTGGCCACGCTTCTCCTGAGCAGTAACCAAATTTCACACAGAAAAGCGTGAACATGTTCCCTGCCCTGAGTCTCGCTGCGGTTCCACAGGCTGCTGGAAGGTGGCAAACACTCACCACAGCTGAAGGCTGTTTCAGCCCCGTGGTTTTGAGTCTCTGTGCTTTAACCTACTGCAAATGGCAAACGCTATTTTAATCTCAGCCCAAGACCCCTTCAGCATTTTTTAGTCACACACCATCCTTCCACACTGCTCACAACTTGCCTGATTCCTTTAGAATTCCTTTTGTTGATTTAATTAGAGGGGAAAAGCCCTGGACACCAGTGCCAGATCTATACCAACCAGATACTATTAAAACATGTGCTGTAATTCTTGATATTATTTATCATTATTCAAGAAGATCTTTGACATTAATGTGCATGATAGCACAAGTAGAAGGAACTAGAAGAACTTTGAGAAGAAAAAGTTTACTCATTGTGTGAGCTGTTTTCTACCTTCTTAAGAAGTGCTTCTTCCCTGGAAAACACATCAAAGTAACCTGCTCAGCAGCGTTTCAAGGCCTTATCCCTGGAAATATCCAGATTTTAAGGTTATTACTAGCCTTCCTTGAAAATTGTGAAAAATGGTGGCAAAGCCCATCCATATTTTCCCTCCAGAATCTGTTTGACCCATGGAGACAATTACCTTGTCTGTTAGCTTCAGATTAACTCCTGCAACGAGAATCATCTCGGCAATGTCCTGCCTGCCATGCTCCGCAGCGATGTGGAGTGGGGTCTGCTGCCTCTGCAGAAGGAGGGTGAAAGGACTAAATTTCAGAGAAGAACAAGTGTGGGGCTGAAAGGATGAGACAGAGCAATACCAGGAGGATGTGCTATCAGAATGCTGTCAGCTCTGCCCTCCTTCCCCCTCTAATCCCTTTTTAAACTGAGGGTCAAACACCCTCCTACCTCAAATAGAGCAATACCAGGAGGTCATGCTGTCAGAATGCTGTCAGCTCTGCCCTCCTTTCCCCTCTATCCCTTTTCAAACTGAGGGTCAAACACCCTCCTACCTCAAACTGGAGTTGGTGTCCTCAGGCTGAGCAGAACTGGTCTGTCCCTGTCCCAGCACCAGCACGAAGCATCCCTGGTAACATTTCAGTATCAAGAAGAAGCATCCCTGGTAACATTTCAGTCTGAAGAAGGAACCTTTTTGGTTCCATCAAGCTCCCAAGGGTCACTTATAGAAATATATTATTTCCTGTTATTTAAACAATTTCTGTAGGCAGATAGTTTGGCCAAGGGAGGAAAGGACCTGTACCAATTCTTTGCTCCTGGGACACAGGGCCAGGTGAATACATATGCACTGTAAACTGGATGCACCTTGGGACCATTTAATGGAAACAACTAAAATCAAACACAAAACGTGGCAATTTTATGGTGTCCTCAGGAAAGAAGTCACTACAAGAATGAACACTAACCAAAACATGACAAACAAGCTAGGCAAAGCCCCTCACTCACCAAATAATTACAATTTGGTGAGACAGCCAGCTACCTCCAGGCTTGCCTCACCAAACATTTTCCAGCATATCTTCTGACCTGAAATTTCTCCCACCTGCTTCCAGCAGGGAGAAGAGAGCCTGACTATGCAAAGCCACTGTGCACAGGTCCCAGGGAGATGGCACAGCCCACGTGTTAAATGCCATCAAGCAAAGCCACTGTGCACAGGTCCCAGGGAGATGGCACAGCCCACGTGTTAAATGCCATCAAGCGATTACCTCACTGCAACACTCAGATATTTCACAGATTCCACGTTTCCTCGGTGCGCTTCCAGGTATTCCCCATTTTAAAGCATTCCTCTTTAATCCTGTCCCCAAGGTGACCAAATCCCCCAGGAAACTGGTTCACATTTCAAAAGACAAAAGAACAGGAGCTGCAGTCTTACATTATCTGGAATGTCGAGGTCACACTCTGCATCGATGAAGAGCTTCACCACGGCTGGGAAGTTCTGCAGTACCGCAATGTGCGTCGCTGATGCGTTTTGCTGTGGAAAGAAGACCCTGTGCTTAGGAAAAGTTTAACTCCTGGCGCTGAAAGGACCATGCTGTGCCCAGCAGGTCTTATTCTAAGACAGTTGCCAGCCTGGACTAGGGCTGGACCCCACAAGCACAGACCCCACAGCAGCACTAGTCCTTACAGAGTTGCTTTGTCCTCTTGAACAGCTCCACAACCTGGCTTTGCCTTTTTGTAAGTGCTGAGAGCAATTAGCAGGACTTACATGATTAAGAGCACCTGGGTGGATTCCTGCATCCATGAGGATCCTGGCTATCTCCTCGTGGCCATGCAGTGCTGCGTAATGAAGGCAATTCATCTTCTTCTGAGAGGTACATCAGAAGAGATGGGTATTAATCAAGGCTTCTTCTCAGAAGCTGCAGTTCGTACAGACTGTCCACAGAGATGTCTCTGCTTCCCTCCTGCAAGAACCCCAGGCCCCCAGACTGACACATTCACAGAGATTATCTCCACAGCCAAACTGGTCCCAGGGCAGCTTCACCTGCCTCTTTGTACAAAGCCATGTGTATTTTCCTCTGGAAAAGAGGAAAAGAGTCCCTGCACTGTTTGTGAAGTGCTGGGCTCCACACGGCGTCACCTGATAACAGGAACCATCCATGGGAAGCCCCAGGTCTGGGCAAAAATCCACAAAGTAGTGTCTGGAAATGGAATCCCCTCCACAGAGCTCACCTGGGTTTGGGCATTGACATCAGCACCTGCTTCCAAGAGCAGCTTCACGCAGTGGCTGTGACCTCCCTCAGCAGCCAGGTGCAGAGCTGTAAGTCCTTCCTGGACAAGGCAAAAAAAGGGGATAAGCAGCATTTCTGTAGACAGAGCAGTGGAATGGGCTAGCCTCTACTGTTAATGACAAAACAAGGGGAAATGGGTTTAAACTGAAAGAGGGGAGGTTTAGATTAGATATTAGGAAGAATTTCTTCACTGTGAGGGTGGTCAGACACTGGAACAGGTTGCCCAAGGAAGTTGTGGCTGCTCCTCCCTGGAAGTGTTGAAGGCCAGGCTGGATGAGGCTTTGAGCAACCTGGTCTAGTGGAAGGTGTCCCTGCTGATGGCAGAGGGGTTGGAACTGGATGAGCTTTCAGGTCCCTTCCAACCCAAACCAGTCTGTGATTCTACCTCATCTTCTGAATCCATGGCATGTTAAAATACAAATTCAGAGGGCCAGGGTGATTGTTAAGAAAATAAAGGACACAATTAATCTGACATATCAGAGTACTGCTCTGTCCTTGTGCCACTGGAAGCAGCAGGCCCATAGGCCACAAGACAGGTATCATGTTCGTAATTTTTTGTCCCCTCCAGCCCGTTAGCAAACAAAGAAGGATTTCATGTGGACAATGTAGACAAACCATTTTCCTAGAGCAGCCCAGAAGCAGAACTGGAAACCCGTGGCCCCCAACCACTGGTTCTCCCTTCTGAGGGCTGCAGCTTATTTCTTTACAAGAAACAAGCAGAATTCCTAACTGATTTAATCTGGTTTTACTATTGCTCTTTGCCCAAAAGGCAGCTGATCTGGGCAAAGACAAATGCTACCAGAGTTACTGCAGAAGGTGGTTTCCCTTTTCTTTCAGATCTTAACCACAATCAAATACACTTTTCAAAGACAGTAACCAAATAAGACAAAAAAAAAAATGCTGATAAACTTAATTGGGAGTGTGTCCTGGCATAAATAACAGCATTACTAAGCCAATATTTGCTATCTAAACCATTAACTATGTTCCAGCCACATAATTTTCCAAGGCAGGCCTGTTAAAGAGAGATCTCAAACAGAAGGTCCGTATGTTCAGTGACTAAGTCAATACTATAAAGCAGAGTGAAGTGTAGTTTAAAACACATTCAATAACCATTTAGGCACTCAAATGTACAAGGGTCAGGGAGAAAAAGGGAGATTAAATGGAGTGATAAGGTAGGTCAGCAGATACAGCAGGAAGACAAGACAACACTTCAGAATTGGATATTGGTCCAAGAAGGATGTTGCCTTTCACTGATACTCTGCAAGTGTGACCTGCATTTACAGATGTACACTTCAGATAAAATCAGCTATCTCCAGACCTCTCCTATCAATACTGATTATTCAGCCTGATGACTGAATCCACCAGGAGAGTATTTCTAAGGAGTGGAAGGGTGAAACTGATGTGGTTTTTTTATTTCATTCAAATGTACTTACTAAGTTCTTTTCATCAAGGTCCGTTCCAACATCTATAATCTTCTGCAGCACAGAGAGATGTCCATTTTTAGCAGCTAAATGCAACGCTGTATTTTCTTCCTGAAAGTAAAGATCACTTCATACACATATGTTTCACAGGACTGAGTGTTCACATACCACAACTTTGCACAGAGTATATCAGTGTGACTGAAAAGGAGGCTGTAACCAGTAGCACGAATCTGAAACAATCTTCTAATAGAAGTAGCAGAGAGGGAAGAAACCCAGCTACCTTAAACTGGAGCTACTGGTTCACCAGGCTCACTGTGTATCCTGAAAAGTCCTGGGGAGAAATCCAACGTGGACCAAGGTACAAATGGCTCACAAGTGGATAGGGAAGAAAAGCCCTGACATACCAGAGCCATAGTTACGACTGCTGACAACTTTCCTGCACGAGCTTCATTTGGTAACCTGTTCCCTGCCTTTCACATCCTCTAATCCTTGGACTTTACCTCCCTTGTGTGTGGTTTTATGCTCATACCTTGTCTTTGGCACTGTGAGAACAACCAAGTTGAATTAGGAACTCCACCACCTCCAGTTGCCCATACTCTGCAGCCAAGTGAAATGCTGTCCTGTCCATCTTTGAAAGGAAACAGAAAGAAATTCAGGCCAAGAAAGGCTCAGAAAGCACAAGATTAGATCATCCTCTGCAACCAATATAGTAATGCCTTGGGTGATAACCCAATCCACAGGGGGAAAAAGTGCTGCACTTCAAAAATAGTTATCTATTAATAGTTATCTTTTATTCTGCTGTTAACTTTTATTCTGCTTTACATTTAGGATGATCCTAACAAAACAAGGTGAACAGAACTACCCACTGGGTCTAACAACTCCAAGCACTTTGGTCTCACCAAACACTGGAAAATAGATCTTTTCAGCGTTTATTTCATATAAATAGAGGATAATAAATAGTTTATTAAAAGCAATCAAGGGTAAAAAGAAATGAATTAGTATCTGAGACCTCAGTTCGTGAGTCAGTCAGAAGTTCTTTTGGGCAAAGGGGGAAAGGCAGATCTCTTGTTGCCTCATTTAACTCCCAAACATCAGAGCTGGGATCACTCTAGGAACCATGAAGGCCAGGGAATGGAAAAGAGCACGTGCCAGCTCCTGTGCGCTCCTACGCTGTCTTCAGGAACAGATCAGCTAATGCTGGAATGTGCTGGGAGAGGGGAGGGTTACCCTTGGCTACTGCTTACCTACAATACACCCTAGAGCATCAGCCACGGGAGAGGACACTGGAATTCCTGAATTCATTCTGCAAAAGGCTACACTGGGAAGCTTGGCTGCTGAAGCTTGATCAGAGACAGAATCCTCATCATCCCTAAGCCCCGCTCCGCAGGAGGGCCAGAGCCTGTGTGGGATACCCTTGGTTCTCCAGGAATAGCATCTGACTCTGAGTCTCTTCCCAAGACCAAGGGCAACATTCCTAAAGAGCAAGATCAGATCCCATGAAACAAAGCAGTGAAGAGCCTTCCCACCTTGTCTGTCTTATCCACACACATGTCCTCCAGGTCCTCCATGATGAACTTTATCACCTGGATGTGTCCCCTCTGAGCTGCACAGTGGAGCAGGTTCCTGCCATTCTGGAGAAGAGGCAAAGGACCATTCGTTTCACAAGTCCAAGGCTGCAGGACAGTCCCTCTGGACAACCTGTTCCTGTTAGCAAAGACCCATTCTATGCCTCCCTGCACCTCTAAACTAGCTTGTGCTGCAGACAGCAAGTTAGGACTGAAGTATTAACGCTCCTTTTCCCAGACAAGGTCTATTTTAAAACACATGGACTGCTGACTCACTAAACCCATTTCCCATTTCTGTAACACCGTCTACATCACCACTGCACAAAAGTGAGCTGAGAAAACCACGTACATCTCTACAGCTACAATTATTACACCTGTTTTAGGAATAAGGTGGAAATGCAGATGGAAGTCACAGAATCCCAGAATTGCCTGGATTGGAAAAGACCTTTAAGATCATCGAGTCCAACCATGAACCCAACACTGACAAGTCCCCGACTAACCCATGTCCCTCAGCACTATGTCTACACGACTCTTCAATCCCTCCAGGGATGGGGACTCCACCACTGCCCTGGCCAACCCCTTCCAATGCCTCAGAACCCTTGCAGCAAAGAAATTCTTCCTCACATCCAACCTCAACTGCCCTGGGCACAACTTGAGGCCATTTCCTCTTGTCCTGTCACTTGTTCCTTGGTTGAACAGTCTCCACAGCAGATGCTGTCACACACAAATACCTGAGCTCACAGGTAAGCCTCTCTCTCTCCTCCCATCACTGTCCAGAGCCATGTGATGGACCTACACAGGGAGACTCTCTCACCTTATTGACACAGTTAATCTTGGCCCCAGCATTGACGAGGATCTGCAGGACACGGAGGTGGCCAAACCAGGCAGACAGGAGAAGCGCATTCATTCCAAACTGGGTGGAAAAGAAGAGAGACACTTAAGAGCTAAACCGCAGCCACCAGCATCCCCACCCTGGAAGGAAGCTGTCCCTCCACCTTCATGAAGTTTCCCAAATATTTTTGTTTCTCTTTGGGTGTTTTTTTGGCCCCACTTTCTCCAATTACTATTATTTCTCCCACAGATGGTCACAGCAGCTGAGCAGAGACCTGCCTCTTGACTGCCACTTCCCAGTCAATGGTGTCTATTAGTCTGGTTCTTATGGGGGAGAGAGAACTGTTTGTCAGTGTCTTCCCACAAGCCCCAGCAACATGATCAGAAGCCAGACAACATCCCCATGCTATACCCAAAACCTCACAGATCCTACCAGCCTATTTCCCAGTCACTGTGCACGCAAGGAAAAGGTGAAGACAGCGCACAGACACATCTGAAAACAAGGTTTGCTTCAGAAAGGCACCGCACCTGCCTCAGCAGGGAGGCCACAGCTTCCCAGGCACTGCAACACCCACTCAGACTAAGGTGAAGCCTGTAACTGCCCACCCAGCACCCAGTCCCCAGCGCTCCCCCAACACAGAACACATTTACAGGATGTGTGAGGGAGATTTGCCTTCGTACACTGTCTTTGTCATCCACTGGGACATCGTGATCCAGGAGCAGTCGCACAGCATCCACGTTCCCTGCTCCCACGGCCCAGTGCAGGGCAGTCCGGTCTGTCTGGAAGGGAAGGAAGGAGAGAGGGAAGGCTGATGTATGCAGAGTGTGTGTGTGTGTGTGTGTATGTGTGCATCCATCAGCCTTCCTAAAGGCCAAAATCTCCTTTGCCATCCATGGAGATGGAATTTCCCACATGGTGCAGGGTTTTCTTTGGACACAGCCCTCTGTCTCTGCTCTCTCGTCAGGCAGACAGGTGCTACTCACCTTCTACACAGAAACTGCAGCTATGGACTATAACAACAGCACAGGAATGAGAAACATCACTGCCCATGGATGGACAGATTGAAACAGCAGGGATGGGTGTAATCCTGTATTTCCAGGAACCTACTGGTCAACAAGGGGAGACCTGCAGCAGGAACTGAGTTTGTCCCACAGCCTTGGCGTACAGAGACAGCAAAATCAAAGCCTTTCATTGCAGCCATGTGTATCTGGCACACAGGTTCTAAGGGGAACCATAAATGATCACCTTCCCTCAGCACATGCAACTTTCCAGTCTGGTCAGGATGACAGTTGTGTGGGTTTCAGTGTGTTGTGAAGCTGCTCAGTTGCACTGGGCTGTGTATTTTAAAGCTTTGAGCAATTGAGCAGCTCGTGAGAAGAGCAGCGCTAAGGAGCTGCAGTTCTGAAACACACCCTCAACTTAGAGGTGGAAAAAACCCAGGACTTACATTGTTTTTGGCTTTGATGTCGACCCCTCTCCTGATGAGCTCCTCCATCCTGGCTGTGTCATTACGCTTCGCTGCATCGTGGAACTCCTTCTCTGAATGAAGCACTGCAGCAGAGACAGAAGAGCGGGCATTAAAACAGTGCTGGTAAGGAACATGGAGCAGCATGTCCCAACAAACCTCTCCTTCATCTCACCAGCCCTGGTAGCTCCAAAGAAGGATGACTGCAGAAAGATTCTTCCAGCAAGAACCCCAGCCCTACAGATGTTGACACGTTTGCTGGATTAATCCTCTCCCACTATCTCCCCTTCCCTGAGTACCCCTGTGCCACCTCAGTGCTCTTCCAGTCCTACCAGCTTCTCTTCTAATTCAGTCTCTTTCTGTGCGTGGGCTTGTTCCAGCTGCAAAACCTTTTGATTCATTAGGTCCATGTCTGCTGGGCATCCTCCAAGGCCCAGAGCTGGTGTAAGGGCTCAGGCAGATGACAAAGACCCTTTTCTCCACCCCTCCATGTACATCCTGCTGCTCTACAGGAGGAGGCCTTTACACACAGTTCTGCTGTGCCCCTCTGGGCAACCTGAATCAGCCAAGCAGCACAAAACTGCTAGCGAGCCTGGCCTGTGATTAGTATTTCACCTCTTAATAGACCGTGGCAGTTCTGGGCATAATTAACCACAACCAGTAGTATTTGTCCTGCACAGTTAGGCACAATTTAAGAGTGTTTACTCTCCAGTGCTGGCCCTTGCCCCAGCAATCTTCTCCTTGCTCGAACAAACCTTCCTGCCAAGAAACAAGAGCAAGGTTGTGACTCTGGGTCTGCCACAGCCCTACAGGGAAGCTCTCAAGGTTTTTGGCAAGGTTGGTGTCAGTCTTTGTTGGACTCAGTCTCTGCTCTAGTGCTTTTGAGGAATTGTTTCAAGAGGTGCTTCAGGCAGACCCTCAGCCTGTCACAGCCTCTCAGATGCTCTGCTCTTATTTATGTTTCTGCAGATCTCAGGCTGCAGTTTGAGGGTAGCAGGGGCTCAATGCAACTTCAGTTTGTATCAACCTATCAACAAGACACTAACCACGTGCTGTACAAGAGGCATCAAAACATATTACTGTTCCTGTTCCACCACACTGAGGAGATAAACAAGAGACTCACTGTACAAATAGCACTACTACATTTCTTTCAGGAGGGCACAGAAGGAAATAAATACCACAAGTAACACAAATATTAATACCAGATAGGTATTAAGAGCTCATTCAAGAGTGTTGGATCTGCTGCTTCACTGCGGGCAGCAGGATTTGGACACAGATTTCTGCAGGAACAGGATTTTCTGTACTGCATATTGAGATCCTGTTCTCATCTGGTCAGGTGTGTTAATGGAACTACATTTTCACAATGCATGGACTCTTCATTTGAGAGGAAATATCAGGAGAAGTGGGGAAAAACCTGTGGAGTTTATGTTAATTATTAACACCAGTGGCTATACCAACACTACCTCCTTGCAAATGTTTATCTCCATTCAGTGGAGTAAAACCTCCATTTCAGTTAAGCAAACGTTGTTGCCCCAGCTCTCCAGGTGACAGAAATTTGTTTTTAACGTTTTATGATGGCACAAAGCATCATTGCCAAGAGATCCCACACCACCCTTTGACTTATTTATTCTTTACCTGTCAAGATGCAGTAACAAATCCTGCAGCACTAAGGCTGTAGAAGCTGCAATTTATTTATTTTCAGGAACACATGGGAAACTATTTGACGGTCTGAGTTTCCTACTTAGCATCCACACCGGTGAAGTTAGCCTAGTAAATGTAAATACACCTTCATCATGGCATGTACCTGTCCAAAACCAGTAGATACTTCTGAAAACCAGTAGATACTTGAGAAGAAACTTCTTTACAGTGAGGGTGACAGAGCAGTGGGACAGGCTGCCCAGGGAGGGTGTGGAGTCTCCTTCTCTGGAGACATTCAAGACCCACCTGGATGCCTTCCTGTGTGATCTCATTTAGGTTCCTGCTTTGGCAGGGGGATTGGACTGGATGATCTTCTGAGGTCCCTTCCAATCCCTAATATTCTGTGATACTTTGCAGTTTTTCCTTCTCTTTTGAGCTCAGGTTCCAGGATATTTCATACTTTATGGCACTGAGTATGAATTCAGTTATCCCGAACAACAGGGAAAAACAATTTTAAGTGATTTACCCTCAGTGCAATGCACCAACTCACAGGCAGTTTATTATGTAAGAGATTTAAAAAAAAACCCAAACAGCAAAAGAGATGAAAGGCATCAAAGAAATGCACTGAGAGCGTCTGCTGGGCTCTACCTGAGGCTGCAGGACACAGACAGGGGCGATAAAGGGGGTGAAAAAGCCAAAGTGGGGGGGATTAGTGTTATTTGCAGCATCTTAGGGGTACAGGATGCTCTGAGGCAACATCAGTCTCCATTCCCGCGTAGGTTATACACCTATCGTGTCTCTGAACGGATTTTAATACGTTTTGTTATTCTTTAAAGCATCTCGGCCCTGCCCCAAAGCCCCTTCCCCAGGCCCGGGGGAGGCCGGGGCCTCACCCGCCCTCTCCCACCAGACAAATCCTCCCTCAGGGCAGCCCCCGCCTCGCCCCCACTCACGGCTGTCGCTCTCGGACACCAGGTC